GCCAATGTACTCCAGTCTGGGTGACTGAGTGAGACTCCAACTCAAAAAAAAAAAAAAAAAATTTTAAAGTCACATCATCAATTATCATCATCATCATCATCATCACTGCTTATGTAAGCAGAAGTGCAAATAGGCATATCACTTAGAAAACAGTTTGTCAATACCTAAAAAGATTAAACTTATTTGTATTTTTCAACCTAGTAATTTTATCCTAAATAATATAGAGAGGCCAAGTACAGTGGCTCAGCCTGTAATCCCAGCACTTTGGGATGCCAAGTTGAGAGGATTGCCTGAGCCCAGGGATGTCAGACCAGCCCAGGCAACTTGGTGAGACCTCGTCTCTACAATAAGTCACACAAAAAAAACTAACCAGGCGTGGTGGCATGCATGTGTCTGTAGTTCCACCTACTTGGAAGGCTGAGGCAGAAGGGTCACCTTAAGCCCAGCTGGTTGAGACTGGTGGCCGTGAGCATGCCCCTGCACTCCAGCCTGGGTGACAAGAGTGAGACTCCAACTCAATAATAATAATAATAATAATATAGAGAAATTTGTAAGCCAGGCTCGGTGGCTCAGCCTGTAATCCCGTGCTTTGGGAGGCTGAGGTGAGTGGATTGCCTGAGCCCGCGGGTTCAAGACCCGCCTGGGCAACTTGGTGAGACCTCATCTCTACAATTAATCAAAAAATTAGCCAGGCATGGTAGCACGCATCTGTAGTTCCAGCTACTTGGAAGGCTGAGGCGGAAGGATCGCCGGAGCCCAGCAGGTCGAGGCTTCAGTGGCCGGAAGCGTGCCACTGCACTCCAGTCTGGGCGACAGTGAGACTCCAACTCAAAAAAAAAAAAAGAGAGAGAGAGAGAAACTTGTACACATATTTATTATGAGATATATACAGGACTTTGTGGCAGCACTGTTTATAATCTCAAAAACCATAGAAAACAATCTAAATCTTAAGTAGAATAGATTATTGAATTCTAGTTTATTCCCACAATAGATTGCTATAGAACAGTGAAAATGGGTGCGCCAAGGTACCCACATGAACAAAAAGATGAATCTCAAAGACATATTGAGGAAAATACATGTTACATTTTTATCAGATTCAGAAACCAGAAAAATTAAACTATATATATATTGATGGTAAATGTTAAGAAAAGCAAAAGAATGGTTAACATAAAATGCAGCTTGGTAGTTGTTTTCTAAGGAGAAGCACATAGGAGTCTTCAAAAATACTAACGATATCCTATTAAAATTTAGTAACTTTGAAATAATACATGGGAGTTTATTTCAACTCATGTATTTTATGTATTCTTCTGTATATATATTTCACAATTAATAGTTTTTAAAAAGGGAAAACTTGCTATCATTACTTTCTTTCTGTTAGCATCTCCCCTCACCCTGAGTAAATGTATTCTTTTTATTTCCCCTAGTCCCAATAATTCCTATTTTGGTGTACTTCTGTTGTCACTTCAAAGCTGTCTCAGTAAAATGTTTACATAAGACATCCTTTTTTTTTTTTTTTTTTTTTATAGTCAGGGTCTTATTTTGTCTCCTAGGCTGTAGGACAGTGGCATATATCTTGGCTCACTACAGCGTCACATTCCTAGGCTCAGGTGACCCTTCTGCCTCAGCCTTCTAAATAGCTAGGACTACAAGAGCACATCACCATGCCTGGCTAGTTTTTAAATTTTTTTGTAGAGACAAGGTCTTACTATGTTTCCCAGGCTGGTCTCAAACTCTTGGGCTCAAGCAATCCTCCTACTCTGGCCTCCCAAAGTACTGGACTTATAGGTGTGAGCCACCATGCCTGGCAGACAGTTTTTAAATAGCTTCTCTTTGGGTCTCATTGGGTCTTTTATGAAATCGGCGACTCTCTAGATATTACAGTCCAATGTTTTTCCAAGTATATTTGTGTCATTTTAAAAAGTCTATGTCTATCTAATATTTATTATTATTTTTTAAATGTTATTTTTATTATTATTTTTTGAGTCAAGGTCTCACTCTTTTGCCCAGGCTACAGTGGTCTGACACAATCATGGCTCTACCTTTTGGGCTCAGGTGATCATCCTGCCTCAGCCTCCTCCATAGCTGGGACTACACATGCCACCTTGACCAGCTGATTTTTTAATTTTTTTGTAGAGATGAGGTCTCACTATGTTGCCTAGGCTAGTTTTGAACTCCTGGGCTCAAGTGATTATCTTGCCTTGGCCTCCCAAAGTTATGGGATTACAGGTGTGAACCATAACCTCTGTCCCAATCTCTAATATTTAAAACTGATGAAAGCAGAATTGCTCTGATCCAAAGTACTCACTACTCTAGGAAACCATGATAATGCTGTTTGAACACCACTGTTCTGGTTTGTTACTTAAAATGGAGTCTGAATTGAGGTGATAATCCTTTACTGTTTTCATGATTTCAAAAATTCTGATCCTTGAGAATATTCAAACATAATTTTTCTTTACTTGGAAATTTAATTCTGAGGTAAACTGTTTTCTAAAGAACTGAATATTACTTATGCCCCATGGTAGATATCACTATGGTATACCTGAGGCTTATACTTCTGTTGTAGAACATAGCTGTGTTTTGAGTTGGAGTCTCACTCTGTCGTCCACTCTGGAGTGCAGTGGCATGCTCCCGGCCACCGCAGCCTCGACCTGCTGGGCTCCAGCAATTCTTCCGCCTCAGCCTTCCAAGTAGCTGGAACTACAGGTGTGTGCTACCACGCCTGGCTATTTTTTTAATTATTTATTGTAGAGACAAGGTCTTGCCAAGTTGCCCTGGCGGGTCTCAAACCCACGGGTTCAGGCAGTCCACTCGCCTTGGCTTACCAAAGTACTGGGATTACAGGCTAAGCCACCAAACCTGGCCTAGAACATAGCTTTATTACTCAGAACTAACCTGCCCTTGGTGGCCTTATGAAGTGAAAATATGTATAACTTTAGTCTCCCTGCAGACCTTTTGACTTAATGCAAGGTTCTCCTTGATCTATATCTTGGCCTTAGATTGGAATTCCTAAGCATTGCTTAGCTGTTTCAAGGAATTACGGGAAAAATGTTGATTCCAGAGGTAGCAGCCACACTTCTGATATTGATTAGCCTGGTGTGGTTTTACTTTTTGAGCTAAAACTGTTCCTCCCAATTAGAGTGAAACATTATTAGTAAGTCACATCTCAAGCTCTGGGGTAGACCTTAAAGATCATTAAGTTGAATGGTATTGATACTTCTCTTTAAGCAGCAGAAGCCTTTTCTTTGAAGGAAATCATGAGAGTTTAGAGTTAGAGTGGGGTTGGAGTTATTCCCACCCCCCCATTATTAAAAAATAATATAATAAAATTGGGGCTTAGAGAAGTAAAATGGTTTGCCCAGGAGCACGTAGTAAGTTGGTAATGGAGCTAGGCATTGAGCCCAGGTCCTATATCCAAATTGCCTGATTCCTTCCTTTCACAAAACCATGCAACCAGTTTCTGTACAAATCTATAAAAAAAAAATTCTTAAGATAATTTCATTTCACTGTTTATTTGGTGAATTATAGACATTAAAAAAATAGTATGTAAATGTGAACTTTCCTACATCTTGCAGGTCATTACGACAAATGTGTGTTCGCCCTTCGAGAAGAGAACAAAAGTGACATGAACACTGTACTGAACTACATCTTCTCTCATGCTCAAGTCACCAAGAAGAATCTTCTGGTCACAATGCTTATCGTGAGTTTTCTGAAGGATGTTTGATGATATGCAGAAAGTATTTTTTCCTTCTGATGGCTGTGGTCAGAGAAAAAACTGCTGTCTGTTGGAATTACGAGATGAGTGGGGCTTGAGTTGTCACTTGACAATTTATCACATCTTCCTTTTCCTTGATCTGAAGGAAACCGCCCTAGTTAGGAAAGGACTATTCTGGCTGTTATGCATGTAATCATTGATAGGAACTAAAATCTTTTGACACTTTTTAGAAATACCCTGTGCTTCACCATTCCTGTGGTCCATGACAATAGTTTTAAAATTTAGTTTTATTTAGTCCATATACTCTATCATTTTAACTCTTGTTTGTGCCATAGATATCAGCAATGGCTCTCATGTCAAAGTTAAAAAAAAAAAAACTGATAGAAATCCAGCACTGGCTGGGCACGGTGGTTCACGCCTGTAATCCCAGCACTTTGGGAAGTAGAGGCGAGGGAGGATTTCCTGAGCCTAGGGGTTTAAGACTAGCCTGGGCAACTTGGTGAGAGCTCATCTATACAATAAATTTTTTAAAAAATCAGCCAGATGTGGTAGCACACACCTGTGGTTCCAGCTACTTGGTAGGCTAAGTCAGAAGGATCACCTGAGCCCAGCAGGTCTAGGCTGCAGTGGCCGTCAGTGTGATACTGCACTCCATCCAGCCTGGGCAACAGAGTGAAACTCTGACATGAAAAAATTTAAAAAATAGAAAGAAGTATTGTCTCTCCTCCAACAAAGAAATTTAAATTTATTCTGTAGGCCAGGCATGGTCGCTTATGCCTATAATCCCAGCACTTTAGGAGGCCAAGGTGAGAGAATTGCCTTAGACCACAGGTTCAAGATCAGCGTGGACAACTTGGTGAGATCTCATCTCTATAATAAAAATCAAAAAAATTGCCTGGACATGGTGGTGCGTGCATGTAGTTCCAGCTACTTGGTTGACTGAAGCAGAAGGATCACCTGAACCCAGCAGGTCAAGGCTGTGATGACCATGAGTGTGCCACTACACTCTAACCTCGGTGACCGAGTGAGACTTCAACTAAAAAAAAAAAAAAAATTCTGCATCTTTTTTGATCCTTGTTTGTTTTATTTACATGAAAATCTAAGCTCAGATTACTGTATTGGTTGTAGATATATGATTTTGTCCCTATAGCCTAGTAATATAAGAATTAGTAGAAGTAGGAATGGAGGGTGAGACTGGTCGATGTTATCAGGACTAATGTACATTTGACCAGTGGGTAGAATTTTTGCAGACTTAAGGATTTTTTTAAATGATTTGCAATTCCTTCACTCATAGCTCTTTCTAGTTGAGTTAGTTCTAGGAATCAGAACAATAGAACTCTTCTTAGAGTCCTTCACCCCACGGTCCTGAACATTTGCCTTGCTGCTGCATGCTTGTCTTTTTTGGGGGAGTATAATACCTTTTACTTCTAGAGTTTTCTTTCTTGTCTCTTTGTGGAATTGGCATTCTTGGTACCATCATTGCTTCTTGGAGGAAAGAAACATAAATCTTTACAGCCTTTTTTTTTATTTCATGCTTCAGAATGAAGGGAAACTATCTTTTTCACATCTCTGGTTAACAACAGTGCCACTTATTCAGTTATCTACCTGGCTAGTTAACTCTAAAGGATATAACATTTTTTAGAATAGCCACTTTTTAAAATGTGTAATTATAGAGAGAGTTCATTTCCTTTGCTACTCTAGAATGGATTGATGGTGGGGAAACCTGGAGATGCATTTGAGAGGGGGGAGAAATATATCTGCACTATGTAATATTTCAGCTTCCCCAAATGACAGTTTTCAGCAAATGATATCATCTATGGTAACTTGCTAATTTTTTTTTTTTGGTCAAAAGAGGGAAAAAATTTCAGACTATTTAGATTTTTCCCCCTAAATTGTAATGCAAGGACTATTAAATCTTATTTTGATAAAGCCAAGATTTTCTGGCAGAAAAGGTTAATGGGGGGGCAGAAGAATCTGTTGATTTGGACCTAAAATGGGGTGGAATTTACCTTTATAGGAAGCTAATTATAGTAAGGTTTTCTTCTTATTATAATTACCTTTTTAAGAACTTAACAGTTTTCTGCACTAAAAATAGACCAAAGCCCAGAATCCTTGGAGCAGCAGAAGAGTAATGATCGTCCAAGACTGTTGCTGGGTTTCTTAAATTCTAATTTGTAAGATATAGGGGCTCGGCTCGCTCCTTTTGCGGAGTGATTGTAAGTAACGCTTGCCTTAAGAATCTCATTATTGGAACACGGAGCCATATTTCCTCTGAGAATTCTGGAGTAGCTTTGAGCCGGGGCTGTTCATTTCTCAAGTAATCACGCTGGTGTGATGGAGAGAGAAAATGGCAGCTGTTCGGAGCTCAGGCCTTCAATTTTCTTCAGAGTCCAGTCACTCAAGTGTGTAATTACACGGGGGGTGCTGCAGAGGCGTTGGGCCCTGTCAGAGAACTGGTTTGAGGCTTTGCTTTCTGCTTTTGCCGGTCAGGACAGGCAGAAGCCAATGGGACTCTGACTTGCTGCTGTTCTTTTTTCCCCCCACCTTGTCATCCTGATTACTTCTTACCTACATGGATACTACCCAAACTTTCTTTCCAACAGACTGAGCTCTTTGGAGAAAAGAACCATTTCAGAGTTTGGATTTGGGTGAATAGAAAAGAGGTGATTGGAAGAGGAGGAGGAGGAGGAGGAGGAAGAGGAGGAGGAGGAGGAGGAGGGTGGTTCAAGATATGTACCAGGAAGGTGGATTTGTCCTTTTCTTTATTTTGGCATCATAACATTTTTCTTTAATAAAGAAAATGAAATTCTGCAATTATAACAGGATTTGTAAACTTTCATATCATTAATTTCCTTCTAAATATCAGTTATTTTGACTTCATCTTAGAGATTTGGGAATCAGGAAATTAACTGATAAGATTGAGCTCAAGCCAACTAGCAGTGACATATGAATCATGGATAAAAGCTCAGAGGGTGCTTCTTTCTGATATGATTTTACTGAATGACAGACACGTCTTCTTTTCTTCTTTGACAATGGTCAGCTACTCCCCCTTCCCCCTTCCTCTCCCTCCTCCCCTATATCTGCATTAATTGTAGTAACTAGTAGAGGCCATTTTAGTAGCTTGGATTACTCTTTCTGCAGATCTTAATTGTCTTTTACAGATGTCACCTGGACATGGTAGCATTTTAATTCCCCCAACTTGTGTTCTCTGCTGGTTCCCCTTTCTTTGCTTACCTTGGCTTCCTGATTGATGGTCATATGCCCAACATTTCAATCTATGCTTTCTAGAAATAGGAAATGTTGATGGTATACTTGCTGAGCTAGATGATAATTTCTGAGGCTTTTGAACTTAGAGGGAGAGGTAGAAAATCAGGCTTCCATGAATGAATGTCACAGGATATGGGCTGCTCTAATAAAGAGGTGCCTTCATCCTCTCCACCTGTTAGCATAACTTGCCTAGTGGTAACTTGCCTTGAGAATCCTTTTTTTTTTTTTTTTTTTTTTTTTTTTTGAGTTGGCGTCTCACTCTGTCGCCCAGGTTGGAGTGCAGTGGCACACTCATGGCCACCGCAGTATCAACCTGCTAGGCTCCGGTGATCCTTCTGCCTCAGCCTTCCAAGTAGTCAGAACTACAGGTGTGTGCTGCCATAGCTGGCTAATTTTTGATTTATTGTAGAGACAAGGTCTCACCAAGTTGCCTAGGCTGGTCTTGAACCCACGGGCTCAGCTTGGGCAATCTACTCACCTTGACCTCCCAAAATGCTGGGATTATAGACTGAGTCACCAAGCCTGGCCCTCAAGGACTCTTGAGCAAATTTCTTCTAATCTTTCACTCTATCTAGAAAGCACAATATCAGGTAAAAGGCTAAAGTCCCATTAAAATTCCTTCACTGAGCCGGGCTCGGTGACTCAGTCTGTAATCCCGCGCTTTGGGAGGCTGAGGTGAGTAGATT